CCTAGAATGAAGACATTGAAGAAAATCAATCGGCTGGAGAACTACTGATCGATATAAGCTTTTGGTTATCTGGGAATAATAAATTACCAAGAATGGTGTCGAAGTATCTTCAAGTAAGAACCGATCCATACGATCTACTCTTTTTATTGATATAGTAGCGTACTATATATATGTTGGAATTTATCTCAAGTGTTGATACCTACATGTAGAATATTTCTGAAGTAGTATTGTCCTTGACTTGGTATTCAAATATAGATATTATGCGCAGCACCGCTTCTGTTGTTAAGATATTAATATTATTCAAAATAATATAATAATTTAACATGTTTATGCTCTAAGTTTGAGATAAAAAATAACTACATAGGATGGAATGTGGAAACTCATCACTTCCCTCCCATATTCGATCGGACTAAATAATACATAACTAATTGATTTGATTAAGAATTGGCTAGAGCAGCAGCTTAATATACCTCATATAGCAAATGGTGCTCTTAAGCCTCATCCCACATGAATGGACGTTATTTGGCCAAATTCATTTGAAATATAACAATATATGGGAAGTTTTCATGTTGAATATATCACAAGAGAAATAGTTTATTAGATGTACAACCATAGGTATGTTGAAACATGTATCCTTTGTATGTCTCTGATTCAACTTGAAATGGCATGTTTTTGTTTCTTCCTCAACACATATCTATTCATTGTGTTTTGTGGGACGGCCTTATATCAAAGTTGTTGTTTAATGAAAATTTGTCTTAAAAAGGAAGGTGGAGAAGATTCAGTTTTATTAACAGTTATAATTGCACAAACTATAACAATATGTCTTTTCCTTTTTGTTTTCAAAAATAATAATGGACCACGACTTATATCACACACTAACATGCTTACATGGGCCATGCATTTAGTTACATATTTCATGTATATATCCATACCAAAAAACAGAAGTTCTGTTATGCTAAATGATGGAGGGGTGGAATGTGCAGACCGGTGCTGCATACATTGGCTTCCCATTTAAACAAGAATCTAACAAAACAATATAAGGTTGATAACTCATAGACTTTGCATACGAATCAAAACACTAGGTAGAGAAAACGTCCAAACCCATAAACACGTGTGAAGCGTCCAATCAATAACTAATTGAAAGTATTTAACTTCGTTTTTCGTAAATATTACCATGAAAATACATTACATGCTTGTTTCCAGTAATAATTTGGCTACAAGGCGCTTAACAACCAAATTGAATTAATTTAATCATGTTTATCCTATGGGCACCCATGGAGAACTATTATATTTTTGTGGTTATGATAATTGTCAAAAGCACATAACCAGTTTTGAAATTCTCAGTGCTGGAGTGCAAATCAATGACTGTCGATGGAAAGTTACTTTATATAATTTGTGATCGAACCTGGTAATTGTTACCTTCAATATAATTGTGAGCGATAAATGGTAACATGTTACTATCTGATGCCAGAAGTCAATCAAATGTATTTCATGCTACTCTTCCTGCAAGGACCAAAATAAAAAGGCTCATAATTTTCTTCCTTTAACTAAAACCTACCTTATTAACATGTCACTATCTCTATGCATAAGACATATTTTGGTAAGAAGACATCTTCAATTCGTTATACTGGAGATCCGTGGTGTGCAAACTGTTTTGACTTCTAACTCATTACGCTTTCCATTGCAATATGTACTGTAAATATGGTAAGTAAAATTATTGGTCAAATTATATTAGTCAATCATCATCAGAATTCAAAGAAAAAACTACAGATCAGGTAAACTCAGGTAGATATTATGGCTTCAAAATTTCCTATTCTTTCCATCAACTAAAATAAAGTTCCATATCTCTTTCAGCTATAACAAATGCACATGAATAGAAAAAGCTATGTTTCATATACTCATGTTACATGTCACGCATTAAATTTTTTACATGGGGAAAGGAAAATACAAGTACGGAGGGATTCTATAACTCAAATGACACAGTTATATCTTCATAATAACATTTTTTTCCTTCACGCCGACATGATGCAAGTCAGCCTATTGAAAAATTACCTCCAACTGTAGAGCTATTGTTTTAGTGTCACATAGTTGTATTAATAAGTATACAAGAACATGACTTAAAAGGAAGACTTTGCTTTTATGCATAGGATAACTTTACAACCACGATTAGAAGTATACAAGGACATGATTTAAAAGGAAGACTTTGCTCTGAGAAAAGTTTAGAGGTACGTTGTCTTTGGATTTTGCAGTTATGTTCTGAATGTGTACATACTGCAGTTCTACGGTATTATGTTCAGATTAATAGAAAATACAAAAACATGAATGTGAAGGTGGTCAAAAGTATAATGATTCTGAAGAATGGGAGCAAATGCATTCAGTTCCTTGAGTGTTGGTTAATGTCGTGGCTAATGAATTTTTGAGTGTTTTCTACTTTCTCCAATGTACAATTTTCACATATAAGAAATGTTAGATTTTTTTAAATATTTTAGTCCTTTTATAATGTCTAGCCCGTGCAGTTGCACGGGTTGACGATTAGTATCATTAGAGCATCTTCAATAGACGGTCCAAATGTAAAAATACCTAACTTTTGGACTGTCTGGGGCAAAAAACGCTGCTCCAACATACGGTCCATATGCAAAACAAATTGGACCGCGGCCTCCTCGTGATGTAAAATATAACACCTCGCGATGCAAATATACATCACGAGATGCATCTAATCCAAAACTAGCCGCCGCCCGCGAACGCCCAACCGCCACTTCATTTCCTTTCCCGCCCGCCCGTGCCCGTCCACCCGTCCGCGACCCTCCCGGCCGCCGCCGCCCCCGCCGTCCGGCCCCGCCATGGTCGATGCCGACGACCCCGCCGCCTTCTGCGCCGCCGCCGCAGCCGGTGCGCTGACCCACGTGGCCGCCGCCGCTGCCATCCTGCCCGCAACCACGACCATGCCGCCGGCCCGGATTGGCACCACCCCGGCCGGTGGCCACCGCGCAGGCGGCGAAGGGACGAGGAGGCAGCGTCAAACGGCCGGCCAACCGCAGCCGCAACCCGGTCGACAGTTCTACGCGGCCGGTGAAGGTCACAAAGGTGGCCGCAGCGGCTCGGGGCGACGACTCGCAGACAGTGCGGCCGGCGGCCTCCTCCAGTAGCCACACACCCATTCCTCAACCTCCCCCGCCGCCACCGCCGGCCATCGAGGAAGATGTGGCCACGCCGACGGCCACCGCCTCCAACATGTTCGACAAAATGTCGCAAAGGTATATATTTTGCGTTGTGCTCTCGTTTGTTGTTTCAAATTTTTTGTGTTCTTGGTTGTTTGTGCGTGCAATTGTAGTGTTGATGATGAAGCTTTCATGCGCGCGACAAATGTGGCAAATGATGATTACATATATGAGTCACAAGAATATGAAACCCAATATGATGATGACAATCTTGATGTGGACGATGAGGGCTTTATTGGCAAGGGAAGAAGTGGAAATTATACCGCCACGGAGGATGTGTTGATATGCACCCTTGGAAGAAAATCTCTTAAGATGCAAGCGTTGGAAGCGACCAAATGGTGAGAACCTATTGGAAATGCATCAAGGAGTATTTCGATGAGCGCAACACAAGTGGTATCTTCCGTTCGAGCGACTCTCTACGCCAACGTTGGTCCACCATCAACGCCGAAAGCTCAAAGTGGGTCGGTTGCTTGTCAAATGTTGCTCGCATGAACCCAAGTGAGTGCGGTGATAGTGATTTGGTAAATATTTCCTCTTCGTCCGTGCTTTGTCAAATATTTCCTCTTTGTTCAACATGTTGATGATGATATGTTTTATTGTAGAAAATGATTGCACAAGGATTGTTTCGGGAGAGGAACATGAAAGGCAAGAAGAAGAAAAGGAAAGGAAAAGCTTTCACTTTTCATCATTGCTACAAAGAGCTCAAGGATGTGGAGAAGTGGAAAACTAGAGAGACTTTCGAATCGTTGAAGAAGAAGAGTGTGTTGGTTGAGGATGAAGAAGATGTCGCTATTGAGGAGACGAGCCCCACTCCTCACTCCGCGACAAAATCTTATAGGCCCGATGGAAACAAGAAAACGAAGGGAACCAAGGCCGGAGACAATGATCTCAAGGAAGGATTTGATGCCATTGTCATGGCAAGGAAAGAGTATGCCGAAGAGAAAAGAATGTTGAAGCTCAAGGAAATAGAGGAGAGGAGTGAGGCCGATCGGCGAAGGGCGGCGACCGAGGAGAAGAGGGCGGCAGCCGAGGAGAGGTTGGCCACGGCCGAGGAGAGGAGGGTGGTGCCATGGGTGGTTACATGAACATGATTGAAGGTTCCATGAGTGGTGCATTTGGCGGAAACATGGGAGGTGGCTTCGGTGGCAACATGGAAGGTGGCTTTGGCGGCATGGGAGGTGGCTTTGGTGGCATGGGAGGTGCTTTTGGCGGCAACATGATGGGTGGTTTGAGAGGTGGCTATGGCGGCAACATGAGTGGAGTTGGAGGTGGATATGGCGGCAACATGGGATGCAATGAAGATGGTTTCGGTGGTGCTCACGGCAACGAGAGTTCACCGCTTGTTGAGAACGTCGACAAAGACGGTGGTGGAGATGATGATCGCACCACGGTTTACAACACCGGTGGTGTTGATGACCTGAATGAGTAATATTCATGTGTATTTTAATTTCTAGGGCGAAAAACTTTGATTGAGATGATGCTCTTTTGGTAGACGAATTTGATACTATGATGGTGATGCACTTTTGATTGAAACTATGATGATGATGCTCTTAGTGCGGTGTAGTGTTTTTTTACTTGAACACCATCTTTTTGGCTTGACCTTGGACAAGAAGAGAGGAGAGAAGACCCGTTGACCTGCCACGGGGGCACCACCTCCTCCCTCCCCCCCCTCCCCCTCGCCACGCCGCCTCTATAAATATCCGCCCGCATTCTCCGCCTCCCGGTACTGCCCCTCACCTCGCTTCGAGCGCGCCGCGGGAAAACCCTCGACCGAGCTTCCAGATGCTTCCAGAAGTTTCCAGACGAGCGCGCCGCCCCGAGATGGCCCCGGTCTCCGCCTCCGCCTCCGCCTCCGCCTCCGTGGTCCCTCCCGTCGGCGCGCGCTGCGCCGTTTGCGGCGGCGTCGACATCTCCGTCCCCCACCAGGCCAACTGCTCCCACTGGTTCTGCGGTAAGCACCAGCTCGCTCGCCGCGCCGCCGCCTTCCCCCTCCCATCCCTCCGCCCGCTAGGCCGGTCTCTCCGGCCGCGCCCGCGCCTGGGCTGCTCCGCGCGCCGCCGCGCCCGCGCGCGCTCGATTCGGCTCCTCGATTTCGCATCCGCGTCGTATACGCTTCGTCGCGATGCGGGGCTTGCGTTCGGGTTGGGGTTGGGTTGAAATGCTTCGCTGCCTCTCGTTGGGCGCGGGTGCGGATCGGCGTTGTGGTGTGCCGATTTGATGCGGATTGCTTGGTTCCGATAGTTGCTTAGCTGTTGTGCGTTTTGGGGGAGGATTTCGTGCCAGTTTGTTCGGGGACACGCATTTGTTCATAAATTCCATGCGTATTGTTTGATTGGTGGTTCCTCAGTTGTGCGCGCACCCCCCGTGGCTTGTAATGTGCCGATTCGACATGGGTTGCTTAGTTCCGTCAGGTAGTTGCTTGGCTCTAGCTGCCTTGTGTGATCTCCTTGGTTTTGGGGAGAATTTGGTGCCACTTTGTTCGGGGCCGTGCATTTGCCATCTGCAAATGTGTTATGATGCAGGGTTTGCAGCTCGGATCATGTTTGTTTTGTAATTGTGGTGTGGCATGTTTGATCATTCGTAGACATTATTTATATGTATGGGCCATGTGCGCTTGTGGAATTTCAGATGCTTGTCCATGTAAGTCTACTGCATTAATTGGTGCAGTGTTTGAGTCCATGGCAGTGTCAATTGCTGGTACTGGAATGCTCAATTAGGCTGCTTTGCTTACTTCGGTTTGATGCTAGACTCGGCGTTGTGTTTTGGGCCGCTGGCGAATGTTTTGGTCCTCCTGAACTATTGATGAACAAAAATTCTCACTGCTGACATTGTCATTTGTTTGTGTACAGGACATTGCATCGTGGGGGTGTGGCTACAGGGATCTGTCCTTCGGCCATCCAATTGCCCTGTTTGCCGTCGCCCCATAACGCTGCTGGTACCTTCTGAAGTTGCTTCCCTGCTGCGTGATGAGCCAGAAATCGCTCCTGTCATGAACCGAATTCAGCAGTACAATGGCCGTTTTGCTGGAGTACCTCACAGTATGATTCAGGTATACCTGCCATGTCTTCTGGATAGATAGACCCTGCTACCTATACTGATTCCATTGCAGTCTAGATTACATCAGTGGAAAAGGCCTAAGTGCACTTGGTTAGAGATCAGTACATGATTTTATTTCCTTGGCTTCTTTCTCATGTATAAATTTTGGACATTTTCAAATGAAATGTTACTTCATCTCTGAAAATATAACTAAACGGAGTTGCACTACTATTTTAGATTTCTTTGATGAACTCCTGTTAATTTATCTGATCAGTCTATAGCAGCAGTTCTATTATCACCGCATACTTGTACAGTCCATTGTCCTAAAAGTTGCAAGTAACCCTTTGAATTTCCTTTGAAATAAATCCAGGTACTGAGAATCAAATGTCTATCTGAGGGTAGTAGGGTACATTTGATACTCGGTTGTTGATACACTGTATTCACAACTAACTAATTGAGCAATGTAAATTATCAGAGACAATTCTTGGTTAAATGGCTTGTGCAACATTATTTGAGTTTACCGATTATGTTAAATTGTTACTGTATGTTCATATATATTTGCAAGACTTGCCTGTAAAGGCAACTGTTCTGCCCAGCTAGAAAGGCTGCACCCATCCATGTTAGTCCATTAGAAGTAAGAGTACGTGTAATCCTCACCATGCTGCCAAATTCATGGTCTTGAACTTTGATTGTTTGTTGTACAGTAGTGAAGTCAAACAAGTAATTACTAATTTTTTCTCTATGTGGAACTGACCATGCTCGGCAATTGTTAGACGTAATCACTATCCAACGCAGATGCATGTTGTATGTGAATCACAAGCTAAGAGTCAAAAGCATGCTCTTATCACATAAAACTGTGTGGTTGTTTTTCTTTTCATGTCATCTAATGGCAGGCAATGCTTTTCATTTGCTGGATATCTGTGTTTGCAGTGGTTGCTGGACCAGCCCTTTTACATGAGGAGAATGCTGGCAGAATTCAGAGACACACGCCAAGAACCTCCCTCCTTCAAAATCCAAGTCGCATTGGCAGTAAGTCATCCATGTTTCCATTAATCCAGTTCTGCCATCTTCATTTATCATGCTATGTTACTGGGCCTGATAGTTGGATAATGGCAATTAGGGAGCAGAAAACATAGTCTAGTGCTTGCAGTGAGCTATTTACTAGATTCTGGATGGTGTCAGTGGACCAGTAGACCAATATCAGTATTCCAAAATCCTAGTTAATTACGTCATGATGTTCTGAGTTGTCGCTTCTAGATTACTAGTTTACCAACTGAAATTCGTTTTTTTGGTTGCTACACTCTAAAAGTAGTTACAGAGCCTGTCAATGTCAAACACCCAAATTCATAGGTCGAATTCATAAGGAAAATCATAGAAAGTGTGAGATTATTGTACATCATAGTTCCTTCTTGTGATTTTTTATAATTCACTTGTAGTGGGCCAATATTTATCTTCTCTTTCTTATTTTCTTCATATTTTACTACATATTCTTTCCATGTTTTTTCTATATTTCTACATCACTCAAGTAATGCACTTTGAATAACAACTGGTATCTCATTGGAAATTCTGTTTTGAGTAATGGGGGATCAATTTCATATTTTCTCAAGAGAATGGCATTTTTTTATTGCATGAACTTTTGGTTCTATATGGCAGAATTTCATTTCCTGGATGCTAGTCGATTCTTGGCATTCGGTGATTTAGAAATTACTCCCTCTGTAAAGAAATATAAGAGCATTTAGATCACTACTTTAGTGATCTAAACACTCTTATATTTCTTTACGGAGGGAGTACTTGATAAGAATTAGGAAAATATGGGTCAGTTCAGAAAGCCCAACTCATTTAGCATATCACCATCAGTCATTGCATATTGAAACCCTTGTACCATTCTGAGTTAATTCCTTCCATAATGTTCTGAGTTATCTTGCTTGGATAATGGCATATACTCTGCTGAAAACCCACCATGCAAGACTTTTGAAATTGAACATAGCATATTATGTTGCTGTCGAGGTTTAGACTGTCTTGAAGATGAAATGAACTATGATCAAGTCTTGAAGAATCATAGACAAACCATCATCGAATTTTCTTGTCAGTGCTGGTCTGTATAAGCCATTGTAGGATCGTGTTTTACTCTGTCATCGTCCGGATTAGATAGGATATGCTATCTTGTCTGATTTCAGTTACTTTTCTGTGCGAACCTTGTACTACTTGTTTAGCTTCAGGCACTGAGTTTACTGTTAGCAATGTTTCAGTCTTACCTATAATTAGCAGCAGTTACGATACACATTTGTCAGGCATGTACTACAATCTAACATCATTTTGATCGTCTAAAATCTTGCTATTCTAAACCGACATTGTTGGATGGCCTGCAGGCCACCCTCGCTCTGGTGTACCTCGCGAGCCCTATTGACCTTTTCCCTGAAGGTAAGGCAGCTAGTCGGTTCAGTCATCTTACGCCTCTCCTCTGGCAAACGCAATCTCTATGAATCCCAAGAGCGTCTGTATATGATTATGCTGTTTTGTTTCCAGCTTTCCTGGGGTACCGTGGTCTGCTGGACGACATCCTGGTGCTCATCGTCGCGTACGCCTTCATCTCCGCCGCCTACCGGGACATCCTCGTTGCCCGACACGCCGCGTGAACTGGTTGGTTGGTATGATGCCAGCATGCAGTTACTGACGGACGGATACAGGGAACTGAACTTGGTGAAAGCAACATAGTGAGTGATGTGTACAGCATATATACTTTGACTTTGGGTGGTAATCTCGTTCTGGTAGATACGTACGCACGATCTGTCGGGCTCAAGCTATATTGCTGGGTTAGGGTCTTGGGTTCGAGATTCATATGCCATGCTCGTGTCCGAATGCTCAAATGTTAGGTCGGGAGATTTATAGTTAGATATCTTTGACAATATGCGTGTTTCCTGAATGACTTGTAACCATCCCAGGTCCCAGCTCATGCCATTGTGCTACAGTTGGATCTTAGGGATCATCCGGATCGAGCACATGCCCTATGCTGTAATGTTGAATGATAGGTCTGTTGGACAGTATAATGTCCAAATATTGGTAGATAGTGCTACTGCCCTATGCTGTAAGCCAGGTAGTTGGTTAGTTGTATTTTGTCAGATTGATTGCATTTCCACAGTTGAACCTTCTTCTTTTCTGAAAAACTCAACGTTAGTCTGAACCTGATCTCGTTGGTGCCGGCTCAGATCAGATGTCGATTATTGCCTGATGTGATCCGATTGATAAGATCGGGTCCAACGGAGAGATCCTATTCCTATCCCATGGTTTGACAATCACAATCGGACGGCCAAAGTATCTTTTGATTAGGGTTTATTTACCATCCACATACTTACCATATTAGCTATGCACCGTCCTTATATATGTACCTCTGCATCCATCAGCCGTCACCATAATTTAGGCCAACACTTCAACATCGTTCGTCAATTGTATCGGCCGGCAAGCTAGGACGCCATGGGAGACCAGGAGGTGGAGAGGCCAAGCAAGAAGGCACGCGGGTCGTCGCCGCCGCCACCGGCCATGGGCTCCGACAGCCTGACGGCGTTTGCGCTCCGCCTGGCCAAGAAGCTCGCCGAGGGAGACAGCGCCAGGGACAACAACATCGCCTTCTCGCCGCTGTCCCTCTACACCACGCTCGGCCTGGTGGCCGCCGGAGCCCGCGGCAGAACCCTGGAAGAGCTCCTAGCCCTGCTCGGTGCCGCGTCGCCCGACGAGCTCGCTGGATTCGTGCGCAGCCTCGCCGCTGACCCATCCGGCTCCGGTGGGCCGGTCATCACCTACGCCTACGGTGTGTTTCACCAGAAACACATGGAGCTCACGCCTGACTTCCTCCACACCGCCACCGAGTCCTACAGCGCCGAAATACGCGCCGTCGACTTTGCTAAGGTAGCAATTGACTCAACTATTACATCGGTCCCAAAATTCTAGTTTTACATTTGTCAGACACTGTATCTAACACTAGAACATGACTAGATATTTCCGTATCCGTATCTAGAAAAATCTAAGACCAAATTTTTGGAACCGAGGGAGTATTTTGATCGCCGTTTCACATTGGCAATGGTACAGGTCCTTCATTGACTCTTACAACGTGCATGTGTAGGATGAGGTCAGGGAGGAGACCAGGAAGGAGATCAACCTGTGGGCGGCGGCGGCGACGAACAATCTCATCTCGGAGATCCTGCAGGAGGGTTCATTGACCAACCTCTCGAGGTTCGTGCTCACCAACGCCATCTACTTCAAGGGTGCGTGGGAGACCCGCTTTCCCAAGAAGCTCACCAAAGACCGCGAATTCCACCGCCTTGACGGCGCTGACCCTGTTGAAGTCCCCTTCATGACCCTGCCAGGAGAATGCCAGCTCTTCGTCTCATACAACAAAGGCTTCAAGGTGCTCAAGCTCCCGTACAAGGCTGGTGACGATGCCATGTCACGGTACTCCATGTGCGTCTTCCTCCCGAACAAGGACGATGGGTTGCTTGCGATGGTCCGCACTCTGGAGGAGGTGGGCGGCTCCCTGCTCGACCACGTGCCGAAGCACCGTAGCAGCGTGAGGGAGATTCTGCTGCCCAAGTTCAAGCTGTCATTCTTCTGCGGTCTCTCCAAAGTCCTTCGAGGCCTAGGAGTCCGGGAGGCATTCAGCGAGGAGGCCGACCTGTCCGGTATCATGGAGAAGAGGGTCTGCGACGTGCGCTTGGACGAGGTGTTCCACAAGGCCGTCGTCGAAGTGAACGAGGAAGGCACCGTGGCAGCTGCCTGCACTGCCGCCGTTGGCCGCAAGAAGCAATGTGCAAGGAGATTGTTGGAGTTCATCGCCGACCACCCGTTCTCGTTTTATATCGTGGAGGAGGTGTCAGGGGCTGTGGTCTTTGCCGGTCATGTACTCGACCCTTCTAGCTTACAGTAATAATAAGAAGTAGTAATTTTATTAGAGCTCCTACTAGTAGTTAAGTACTATTCTGCCTCAAACAACAATAGATAATCGCCAATAAACTAAACAATTCGACTATATATTTTCTGTTGCGAATTCATGCTTTATTTGGCCCCTTTGTTTGTTTTTCTGTCATTATTAAGATATCGATGGTTATCCATCTCTGTATTTTGGCAAGCTCAACGTTGATACATCCTCCCATCATGACCTGATGGATGCATCCATAAGTGAGTGTGGTGCTGAGATATATCAGGGTTTTATTGCCGCAAGTAACATGATGATAGAGTGGCGATGCAAGCAAGTGCTCTCACAGTACGTTTTGTTCACAGTACGTTTCAACTTGTCGACACCCCATTTGCAATCATATTGGTGGCCACATAGTTGCAGTCGGTTTGCGATACTTACAGTTGCATGACTAGTGATGGACATACAACTGGCCGTCGACCCGTATAGGTCTAATGCAGTCATTTGAAGGGATATGCAGTTGCAATCGGTTTGAAATGATTAAAGTTATAATTCAGGTGCTGGACACGCAACTAGTTGACCTCCCCAGTTGCAATTACATTTTAGGGTCATGTAGTTGCAGTCGGTTTGCAACACTTCCAATTACATGTCTAATAATGAACATGTAACTTGTGGACGACCCACTCACAACCAATTGGAATAGCGTCGTGGGATGATATGGGAGCTCACGGGTACACACCTATAAAAAACCTTCCTTTTTTGTATGAAAATTCTGATATATTCATCTTCAATCATAGCAGTACAACGAACACAAGAAATAATAAAGATTACATCTAGATCCATAGACCACCTAGCCACGACTACAAGCACTGAAGCGAGCCGACGGCGGGCCGCGGTCATCGCCCCTCCATTGCCGGAGCCAGGCACAACTTGTTGTAGTAAACAGTCGGGAAGTCGTCGTGCTAAAGCCCCATAGGACCAGCACACCAGAACAGCAACCGCCATCGATGAAGAATAACGTAGATCAGAAGGATCCAAACCAAGACACACGGACGTAGATGAACAACGACGATATCCGAGCAAATCCAGCAAAGATAATCCACCCGAGACACACCTCCATACGCCCACCAATGACGCAAGATGCACTGCGGGAACATGGGCTAGGCGGGAAGACCTTTATTCATTTTCAGGGAGCCGTCGCCGTCTCGTCTTCTTGAGCAGGACACATACCCTAACAAAATTGAAAGAAACGACTAGAAACGGAGCCAGCCCTTCCGCCGGCCCTTGTCAGGATCCTTCGCGCCCCCAGATAGCCCTAGGGCACCGGAAACGAGGCGGACCTGCGGCGCGCCGGCGGAAGGCAGGAGCCCTAGCTTTTGTTTTGGAGGAGGATGATGCATAAAAAAGCTTCCTTGACTCTTCAGTTCTTTATCCATGCACATGCTTTTGCAAAAAGCAAAAAAAAACATAGCAGCCCACAACACTAGTAGAAAAACACCTAATAGTCTCGGTTCGTGAGGGCCTTTAGTCCCGGTTCATGAACCGGGACTAATGGGCCGTTACTAATACCTCCACCCATTAGTCCCGGTTCAAACTAGAACCGGGACTAATGTGCCTTCACGTGGCTCTGTGCGCCGAGCCCAGTCAGGGGGCCTTTGGTACCGGTTGGTGGCACCAACCGGGACCAAAAGTCCATGTTTTTTTTTGGAAATTGACTGCTTTAGGGGTTTTGGGGGTTATTTTTAGGTTGTTATATTAGCTAGCTAATAGAGAGAAGTGTCCTCTCTTATATCTTCGTCCTTGGTTTACCAACGCTACTGCTATATATGTTCATTTTACCCGCTGATATAATAACTCATGCATGCTCGCATACATCAGCATATATAATAACAAGTACTCGTCCTACTAATCATGCATCATCATACAAGTTCTACTCGTTATTAAAAATAAGTCATACGATCATCATCCTCATAGTCATCGAACCCAACCCTACATAATTGTTCTTAACACATGATCATCAGTATCAGGTAGGACCTAAACACCCTTAAGGTAAAATAGCATAAAACAATATAGACCCTGACTCTCCATTATGAAGAATGGCGATCATCCTGTCTCCAATTTTTGCCCTTCGCTGAATGTTGCTTTCAAGAAGCTCCTTACGACTGTCCATACATTTTTTCCATTCTTTGATTCTCAGGTCTCCACTTATTTTAGAAACCCGGTATGGACAGTTGAGATTCGTAGGACGACCTGGTTGTATGTTCAAAACATGAAGGCTACCGTGTGTATACATCAGATGAGGCACACAATCATTCGGGATTATCTGTTGAAAAACATAGTAATAACTTCGTAGTTAGCAATGATATGATGTACTAGTTTTAGAAGTGTGCAAAAAGATGCACGGATGTTGTAATAGTACAAAAATCTTACCAGGGTATCTCCATGGTAGTTACCGTAGTTCAACACGTGCACTAGTGGCACGTATTGACCATAATGTTGAGGAGTTCAATTGTAGGCATTGTAATTCTTAAGATCAGTACTAATGGTCGTCCTTTGGTCCCGGTTCGGGCCACCAACCGGGACCAATGGTGGTGGGCCAGGAGCGAGGGCCATTGATCCCGGTTCGTGCCACCAACCGGGACCAATAGGTCCCGACGAACCGGGACCAATGGCCCACGTGGCCCGGCCGGCCCCTGGGGCTCACGAACCGGGTCCAATGCCCCCATTGGT